CACACAGGTGACATCGTAAACACACACAGGTGACATCATTACACACAGGTGACATCGTAAACACACAGAGGTGACATCGTAAACACACACACACACAGGTGACATCGTAAACACACACAGGTGACATCATTACACACAGGTGACATCATAAACACACACAGGTGACATCATAAACACAGGTGACATCATAAACACACACAGGTGACATCATTACACACAGGTGACATCATAAACACACACAGGTGACATCATTAACACACACACAGGTGACATCATTAACACACTCACAGGTGACATCGTTAACACACACACAGGTGACATCGTTAACACACACACACAGGTGACATCGTTAACACACACACACAGGTGACATCGTTAACACACACACACAGGTGACATCGTTAACACACACACACAGNACACACACACACACACACACACACACACACACACACACACACACACATATATTTGATGATAATAAATGTTTCCAGCAGGACTTTGAGTGATCAAAGAATGCGATCAGACGACTGACAGCTGGAAATAAACTTTATTTTATTCAACATGTCAGGAACCAGGATGTCTCTAAACCTGCAGGGTCTCAGCTCTCTGACGGAGGGGCAGCGGCCCGGCGGACAGCCTGGATCAGGGCCTGCTGGATGACCGGGTACAGTTTGTAACATCCCTCCATGCAGGTCCGGACTCCTGCAGCCAGAGTCTCCTCAGACATCTCCCCGTCCGACTGCAGCCCAGAGATCTGGTTCAGACTGGGCAGGAAGGCCACCGTCAGACCGCCGCCCGACCTGCAGCCCGTCTCCTCAGAGTACGTGGGGTCCACCACGTACGAGTCCCCGTCCTGACGGAGGGAGCAGCCCAGAACCAGGTCGTACATCTCGATCCCTGCGTCCGCCAGCGCCAGGGAGGCACAGGTGACGGCGTGGGCCAGGACCGAGCCGCCGTTCTCCAGAACCATGACGCTGACCTCGATCTGAGAGCGAGGGTACCTGTGCAGGCACACAGCCGGCTGCAGGCTCTCATACAGCATCACACACAGGTCCCTGTCCTGGCTCCCCTGGATCCAGGAGCCCCGCACCGGGCAGGAGAACGGAGCCAGACGCATGTCAGTGCTCAGTCTGCACACACAGGTGACATCATTACACACAGGTGACATCATTACACACAGGTGACATCGTTAACACACACAGGTGACATGTGACATCATTAACACACACAGGTGACATCATTACACACAGGTGACATCATTACACACAGGTGACATCGTTACACACAGGTGACATCATTACACACAGGTGACATCA